CACAGCACAGCACAGCACAGCACAGCACAGCACAGCACAGCACAGCACAGCACAGCACAGTATAGATATACTATCATAATAACGTGCTTGCTATTCATAATATAATGATTTATTACATGTAACAGTTCATTATATAAATTGTTTTAGATAATAAGATATGCGAAATAATTAAAAGAGAGTTTACAAAGTTAGAAACGAAATCTATTTTTGAAATAAAATAGCCTAGAATAATCAAAACGGCTGAAAATATGTAATACTTTTCAGTTCTCGGGATCATCATATTGATCTTTATGGTCGTGTATCATAGGGAAAATAAATATCTGTGCTGCAAGCATAACGAAACCAATGCTGAAAAATTGTTTATTCTGACCCCTTCCCTTTGTACCGACAATGAATGGTGTGTTACACCCACTACGATGGAGGGGTCGCCCTCGCCCTCTTTAATGGAATTGATTTTATGGCTAGTTTACGGATGAGGTTTAGCCCTGTAAATTCCTAATTCCTTCCCTTCCCCCAATAATAAAAGTATCTTGTTTGCAAAAGATGTGAAAACTGCGGTTTGCGAGGAAAATCAAAAGTCATATAATACAAGAGTAATGTAGATTTAATGGTGATCTCGAGTGAGCTGGTTGATGTCATAAAATTAAAGTTATCACATGTGGTGATCATGATCGGAAGTCTAACACGAACTAATGAATAAACTCAAGTATTTTATATCTGTTTTGCTGATGATATAGTTAAAATAAAACTGTTGTCTTCAATTCTACTAAAACATCAATGTTTATACAAAATGCACCAATATCCAGCTTGACGATATACCAATCATTTTTCTTTTTTATTCTTTATCTACTTATATTTACGTAGTAATACTCATTGTATGCTGTTTAGAAAAATTCTCATGAGTTTAGGGGGGAAAAACAATCGCAAGCTCCGCTTCAGTAGTTCTTCTTCTTCTTCTTCTTCTTCTTCTTCTTCTTCTTCTTCCCGTCGAGGTACAAGGAAAGAGTATACATATAGTACCACCAAAGTAATGTCATGTGATCACTGGCTACCACGTCACCCACATATAACTGAACCAAAATACTTTTTCCTTTAGTTGATTGTGAGTTGAGCGTCGTGTGCATAGAACATTTAATGCTGATTGGTAGTGCGTGTGAGCGAAAAGTGTCCCCAATTAGTGCAAAAGTGCTTGAACGACTAGACACTTAAATAAAAGTGATTTTTTAATTTTATTTATTGATTCATTAGTCGTCAAATCAGTGGCTAACAGTCAACGGTAAAACAAAAAAAACAACAAAGGAATTAGTATCTATGACTAAGTATTATTCAGCCGGTACTGTCTTTGGACGAGCCACTGAGTAAGGTGAATAGCAGGAACATTTTACACTGTAGCCCAATACTCCACTTATCTCTGCTCAACTTCCTCTCTAGCATATCTGGTTTTGTACTTCCATGTCTAGAAATAGCTCCCATTGAGGTAAAGATATACTTGATACCCTTTACACATTGTTACTATGCAGACAGGTCAAGGCTATTTTGAAATACAAAATAATAAAATAAATCATTTTATTTTTATATAAAAGTGCCTCTTTTTTGGCCTTCATTCCATGAAGACGTTAAATTTAGAAGTTGATTTTTGCGGAGGGAAGAATAAACCGGAATATTTGCAGCATAAATGCAAAAGCTGGAGTAGTTTGAAACACCAGGAATAAAAAGCATTTTGATCGAAATTCAGTGGCTTTAAATAAATATTATTTATTGAGGATATTAAGTACACCTGAGAAATGGTTTACACGAAATGCGCAACCATCCAAGAAAAAATTCATTGATAATCGAGAGAACTAGATAACTTATTCGTAGGCGTTTGTTGAGTCAGCCTCGCACATATTATACATGTATACATCAGGTTGACATAACTTAGTTTTACAGAAATGCAATAAAAAACGTTTTGTATATTTACTTATTTTAATTGGTTAACCAATAAAATAAAACAATTACTACAAGCGATTGTCTAGTGTCTGTGCAGCATATATTGATCAGTTGGTTGATATTGTGTGGGAGTGGAACGATTATGCAGCTGGAACATCGGATCTAAAAGAGGGAGGATAACTGACAAAGGTTTAATTAATATTATACCATCAGTTAATGAACTAGTGTCTAGCTCTTTCTATCGTTTTTTGCACATATTTCCTAAATATTCGATTCGTAGGTAGTGCCGACAGTGCGAAGTGAATTGTAGAAGCCACACCAACTCATGAACTTCTAAGACACAAAATAAAAACCCATTTAAAACAGAGATTGCTCTTTCAAATCAAGGAAAAAACTATCATTAGAATAATAGTCTAAAATAGAAAAAACACCCCGTCTCAAAGGAAGCATTAGAACGGGGAAAGAATAAAGAATCATCGATTAAATAAGATAAGTAGTCAAAGCAATATCATATTGTTGGATAATCTTATATTTAATGCTCCACTTCTAAATTCTTATAACTATATAACTACAGTCCTAAATAAAAGCTTTACAGACTTCCTACTCTTATAGTCATTTCAAAGATTTTTTCACCCAAGTGCAGATATATTTTCAATATGCTTCATGGTCTCAGAACCGGAAGTGTTTCTTTTTTTCGTGACTCAACGGTTAGTTCCTGTCTGTTGGTCTATGACTTCCGTTTTTACTTGTATCTAATTATGTTGAGTTGGCAAGTGGAAATAAACTCCAGGAAGTTGTGCCGTGATATAAGAATCAATTTGTACCAAATTATTCATTCACTGCTCAAAAATTGGACTAGAAAGATCTTCGCAAAAGGTAAGCTTTAATACCCAGCTCTTGGCAGCGCGTTAAATCTATTAAATCGCGCACATAATTGACGTCCTAGCCTAGGAAAGTCAGTGTTATGTGAGTTAGTCTCATAGATTAATATCGAATTTGAGCTTTTTAGGAATCGTTTATTGCAAAATTAAGATTGATCTTGAAAAAGAGATTATTCAGCGTTTTAGCAGACTAGAGATGTATATCGCAAAATAAACAGTTTCTGAGCCGAATTATTATTATACATATATATATAACCAAGAAAAGTAAAGTCTAATGTGTCTCTTCATGCGCGTCGGGACTATTACTAGTAAGAAAATTAATCTAATACTGAAAAATGGACAGTTTATATAATAGATTAAAGTAAAGAAATTATGAAAAAGATTAAATACAAAAGGATTGACTCTAGCTTACTACAAAAGTAAAAAAAAAATTTTTTTGACTTATAGAAAGCGAAAATAACATGTTTTATCACATGCCAGATGACAGATTACCCTTTGAATCCATGTGAAAGCTAGTGGCCTATAAAGTCTTGTTTTAATAAAAACACTGATGCCTAATATAAATGCATATATAGTGCGAAATTCATTTTATGGAACTGCATATGGAATTCCATTTTACATTGGTTCCCCATTTTACATGAGTTATTCAATTATAAATCTAACGAAACTTACTGACAACAAAATAATATTAATGCTATTCTTAACTTTGATCGTATTTGTGTACGTGTTGAGCAGATGTGCAGAATTATGCTTAATTTTTTTCAAATTTCTCTTTTTAATATTTTTAGCTTATTTACTAAATCATTAATAAGTGGTAGAATTACAAAGCGAGAGTCTCTTTACCGACTGACACGTTCTAGTACAATATCAAGTACAATACCAATTTTGCCTCACAACTTAAATAAACGTTTTCTTTTAAAGGGGTATTCATCCGGTTAGGCCCAGAGTATTCTTGTCGAAATGAGCCAATAGTCTGTGCTATCAATTTAAAACTGAAGAATATTCATCAGGATAAAGACGTTTCAATAGAAGTCCTTAATTAACCAACTTAGTTTTTCCTGTTTTTCGTCTGATGTCAAATGAACAAGAGTCTTTCAAAGGCGCACAGTGTGATCTGTGTGGGTAATAGGAATTACAGGAAACAGTTTGAACAGAGTTCCGGGAAAAACAAACAAAAACCGAAAAAATAAGGTGTTTATTACCTGTATTTGGACGCCATCACGGAAACAGTAAAACTAATAGGTATCTTTCTAAAAATTACTGTCATGTCCTCGACTGTTTGATCACTCTTTGAAATTTTTCAGTTTATTTTATTCCCTCGTTTACCTATTTTGATCTTAATACAGCTCGCATAATACTTTGAAATAAATTCTTTAGCTTCCCTAGGGCAAATTTGTACCCGGTGTTTTTAAATAGTAGAGGAAGAACAAGTCAGTCATTCATAGAACCAATTAAAATCAAAAAATAGGTGTTTGCAACAAGTATTAATTTGACGGGGTAATTATGTTAGAAACGGCTGAATTGATAAAATGGTTTTAACTTGGAAAAAAGTCTACATATTTAAAAAGATACCTAATCAGACAAGACTTATCAAGGTACTTTTCTCAAAGAAAAAAAATTTTAATTTTATTTGATATTATTTTAAAAAATGACTAAGACGACAGATGATAATTAGAGAAGTTGAAATAGTTATTATTGCAGTGCTTCCGCTCATAGCTGACTGAAACCGAATACGTTTTTCTCTCTCTCTACAATTCATCGAGTAATGAGACGCTTTTGTACCTATTTTTGACTGTATTTATTTGATCGTCATGTTTACTAGATACACAAGGAAGATATCCTGACAGCCATGACTACTTCAGGTAACACAATACACACTCTATATGACATCAGTATCAGCACGCTTTCTTTATACTTATGTCTTATAGACTTCATAAAAAATAATAACATTTCCGCACTAGGGAGGGGTTCGTATATTTTTACACGAGATGGATAAAGGAGCCGCTGGGAGAGGTGTGGAACTACGGTGCTAATAATGGCACCCCATACGTACCTCCGTCGACTTTGACCAGACTTTGACCAGCCAAGAAGTCGTTTCAGGGTTCGATAAAAATTAACTATGTGCATATGCATAAATAGATGACCTCATACACTTCAAAAATAATCACTTAACTGACTGATATGTCTTTTGCTTCAGAAAGAAGAGGACACTCCAAAACTGCCGTTCATTTGTGGGAATTCCTGCTTGATTTACTGGCAGATGAAAACTGTTCCTCCATGATAGGATGGACCAACAGAGAAGGAGGGGAATTCAAGTTAAAGAATCAGGAAGAAGTGGCTAAAAGATGGGGAGACTTGAAGAGAAGACCAGGGATGAACTACGATAAACTGAGTCGGGCTTTAAGATATTATTATCAGAAAGGAATTATCAAAAAGGTACGTCATGTCTTCTTGCTCTCGTTCTTGTTTTCGTTCTCGTATTGAATATAATATTCTATTCTTAGGTCAATGGGCAAAGACTTGCTTATAGATTTGTCAACCCACCTGTGACAGACAAGCCTACGAGAACACTGTGTACGCATGCGTCACTGACAAAGGCAGTAGAAAAACCTGTTAAAACAGAAAATCAAATGTGCACCAGAAACACAAGCCCAGAGGGAGTTGGACAGAATACGTTCCATTATGCCATCAATCCAGTCCAAAACCGATTCTCATTCCCCACCTTACCAACCTTACCAAGCACAACACTGGGGCTACAGTTTATTCAGTCTCCACTGCGCATGTCACACCATAATCACGTGACCTACCCTACGTATCAATACGTCATACCCTTTATGCATCCGTCTGTCTGTCCTTGTCATTAGACGCCACATCGATCAGCAGTCAGAGATAACAAGATGGAAAAATGTTTGGAAAATAATTTGGGTATGAACCGCAATTTGTAACGTTATTCAAACCTCTCCCCGCGGGGAAACCTTTTCTTACCAAGAGGGGAGGGGTGAAATGCTGTTCTACTTAGATCCTAGATCTTCCCTAACTAGGGAGTAGGGGTAGGTGTGAGCCACACGAAGTTATTAAATTATGATTAATGCTGCCCAGCCCTACCCCTGTGGGGAATTCTTTCCCGCCTACGTCACAGGGAGGGAGTAAGCAGCACCGGCCGAGTTTGAGCCACAAATTTTAAAATATTAAGAATACCAATCGAAAATGACAAACGTGTATTATATTGCCCTAATCTGAATTGACTGGTCTTTCAGTCATGGTCGGATCAATACACTGTTAATACGATCCGACCATCACTGTCCGACCTTTCTTTGTTACTGTTTATTGTACATATATTTGTAAACATAATGTCAACTTGACTAATAGTTGTAAATACACCAATGCGATAGTATAGACCAAGTGATTAATAAAGTGCTAAGGTAATCCATGACCATCATTCAGTACACTTCTAGAGCGAAGGCATTTAACCTGTGAAATAAAAAATATAAGTCAACATGTAATGAGTCAAATAGACACAAAAGAAAATGATTATATATTAGCCATGATATCTATTTCACTGTTTAAGTGTTTTCTCCATCATAGTAGATGCTAATAACTATCTCAGTGTCACAGAATAATTTTTAGTGATCTAAAGTTAAAAGTTACAGACAAGTTTTTCAGGGCCGTAACTAGGGTTTTACCGGGTGGGTGTACATGAAATGGAAATGTCTAAACTAACATTAAGAAGTGCTATTAAATTTTGAAAATTTCAAGTATTAAACTAAACACGTGCAAATAACCATTTTGAAAATTTCAAGTATTTCCAGCAGGAGAAAGAAAAAAGAAAAAAGAAAAAGAGATAAGTTATAAGCGGACCTTCAATACATATGTACGATACGGGGGATAGCATATGCATGTCTACTAAATGCTGGTTACTGCACCGACTTTAGCAACCATCTACTGCTCAGGATTGTAACTCTCAGAGTTACCATCTCATATGATTGTTAAGCAAAGTTTAGTTTCGTGTTTTGAATCTAATCCTTGGTTCTTGACCCTTTCGCACAATCTTCTCCTCCCCTAATAATAATGTTTTTCCGCTTTGAGCAATACCGAGGGCCATGCATGGATCACTATAAAGACTCATCAGAAGCTATATAATCTGACATGCTGAACAACATAGAGGAACTTTACTGATGGGTAAAGTCGCGGAGAACCTTTTCCCTCTACAGGGTCCAAGGTACCTTTATCCGTCATGTTGTTATGCTATGTCTTTACATTCACGCAACCACGCAATCAAAGGACTTCGGGCTTTTTTATATAGAATAGTCGAGATATAACGCACGCGCTGATTGGTTAGCTACCGTGTTTATAACAGACGAAAGAGTCACGCTCGCGCAAAATCGTTCAAAAATATTTTATAAAACAATAAACGTCAGCTTATGTCTCTGTACTGTGATATAAACATGGAGCTGTAGAGCACTCGAGAAGCAAGAGAAACACGCGACCGGTTACGCATGTTGCTAAAGCTTGCTTATAGCTTCTCTCGTGCTCTACATGCTCTCAGCGTGTTCATATCACAGTACAGAGACATGCGTGCGCGCGCGTTTTATATTCCTTAATCAGTTTCAGTTAGTGACTTTAAAAATGGATAACATAGCATCTGTTCTAGTCCTCTTATTTATTTTAGGAAATGATGGTTGAATGACTAAATTCCTCCAGCTTGACATAAAATGAGAACTATAGTTTAGTTGTCCTTTTCTCAGTCTAATTTCATCATTTAGCCTTAGCGGCTACTGGAGTATGAAGTACAAAACTAGCCACGCCACGCTGGCCAATATTTCAGCAGGTGCTGCTCTAAAAATTTCATATTTTCAATGGTAGGACTGTACTTCAAGAAAAAACGTTGAACATTATTCATCTGAACTCATATCGGTGTTAACTAGTGAGTCAAACTGCGTTTTTTTGAGCAGCAACCTTAGGTATTCAAGCTTGGGTAGAGTTCGACATCACTGGGCTAATAAGATAGTTGGATTAATTCATTGAATAAACATTCGAGAAGCGCGTTGAGTCGGAGAACCAGTAATGGGTTTCCTATTAAAATAGTCCCCACTTGAATCGTTACGATCAAGGCTATGTCGTAACGGAAGTGAGTCCTTACTAAATGAAGAAAGAAAGACTAAAGAGAAATCAACAATTCAATATCATCGGAAACATTAGGTTCACAGTTGAATTATTCTTTCTTGATGTATATGTTGGCGAGTTGTCATGTGTAACAGTTCATTCAGTAGACTTGGAAGGCGTAAGGACGTACGTCACTGACCAGCCTGCAGAAGATCAAACAAGTGAGCTACTTCAGGTAATAAACTGTGTTATATAATCAGTAATTGTTAATGTTAACAGAGATCGATGAGCCGACTGGCATACATCTCTCCAGCAAGTTAATACCATCAGTTTTCATAACAGTATTTAAACAATTCTTTCTTTTAATTTGTTGTATTGCATGTAATCTTACTTTACAATGGGAAGATTTTCACGATTTTCAAATAAAAGTCTCTTGATAACGAGGTTTGATTGATGGTGAACAAGCATGGTGGACAAACTTTCACTATATCAGTTTTAGGTGAAAGTCGATAGTATTCAATGTCAGTTATGTCGTATAGTGCCAGAGAATTCTGATTTGAAAGTTGAGTGTTCCCAATGGCATGCATGCACTTGGAGAGGATGGTTTGTGTGTTGAATACTACTGACATGGTTCCAGTCAGAACAGGATCATTCATCATAAACCACAAAGTTGAACATCAGGAAAACACTCTTAGTAAGATGTTGTATCAATTGGTACCACTGTTTTTGTTGTTTATAAATGAGTCTTTACATTTTCCATTGCACTCTTACAACGAGGACAGTTATAAATTCACCGGCACTAGATCATATTCGCACCACCTTTTTCCCCCACTACACTTCACTAAAAAGCATCAAAACTTTTCCGCGTTTTCTTTTCTCTTCCTTTAGTTAAGAATAAATAAATTTTTCCATGACTGTCAGCCGATCTGTTTTGCAAGATATTGCGGGGTATATGGTACCCTTGGCTTCGCTCAAGAAGATCTTGATTTCGACAGTATTTGTTTTTGAACAGTATTAAAGATTTATTGCGTACTCTTTCGTTGATTTAAATAATTGAAGGAAAAAGGGACTTTTTTTTTGCAATTTCTGTACTGTGCACAAGACACCACAGGAATACAGTGCAAATCTGTTGTGAATCATTAGCTAATAAATAATACGGTAATTGGAACTCATTCGAGTGCAATTTATGATAGTAATAGAACTGAGTGGAGTGCAATGTGTTCTGAAAACGAACGCTTAAAGGATAAGCAGGCGATTCAAAAATAAATTTGAAAATCATAAAAATTGAATCCTTTACTGTAAGCCTAGCTCCTTTCCTTTGAACTAAACTTCACACGAGTTGACAACCTCAGTACACATTGTTCAAAATGGTGCAAATATGAGAATAAATCACATCATCAGTTGACCAATCAGATTACAGCGATAATAATAAATAAAAATAAAATAAAATATAAAAATATAGCGATAATTGTCGGATATCCTGCGAGGATCCACTTCAGTAACCATTTCCTCATAGTTCCATCTCACTAGCACCGCGGAAGAGAAGGGTCTGCTTTGAATATAGCTATATCACTTTTTGCTTGGGTTGATTTTGTAGAGCTCCAGATGACATGAATAATGTATAAATGTTACTACTTAAAAGCAACAAAACGCGTCTACTCTTGCATACCCTTGTCCAGATTTTTTAGCCCTACCACTTTAAAAAATTTTTTGCGGTCCCTGTCTTATTACAGAGCGTTGGATACAAGACGAAAAGCTTTTGAGCTCAATGTACAGGAAAAAATATAGCGATAATTGTCGGATATCCTGCGAGGATGCACTTCAGTAACCATCCTCATTCCATTTCATTACAAAGTGTTTATATAAGACGAAAGGTTTTTGAGCTTACAGATACAAGCAACAACATGGCAGTCGATTGGGTTTAGTTGGCGAGTTGCTTTTTTACCATCGTATTTTACTACTCCTTGAAAAACGTCTTTTTCAAAAAACAAAGTTTCTAAAATACTTTGTTTCAAGAAGAAAACAATACCAAATGATTGAAGTTGAAAAAGGTTAGATATGCCGCGACGTAAATAATCAAAACACCGAAAGACATGTACTTTATTCGCTTAGATTTTAATTCGTCACATTTATTAATTATGGCTATTCTCACCATTATTTATGGCTAATGCGGGCTTTAAGGCATCGTTTTTTGACTTTAAAACGACTGATATTTCCGGTAAGTTATTAATGGATACCGAACAAACAACTCTCTTCTATTATTTTATTTTTAATTTATTTTATTTTATTTTGTCGTAATTACCGCTGTGATCTATGACTGCTGACTCATTCGAACATGTTCAGCCTTGATTAAGAGCAAATAATTTACAAAAGTCAACTGTAATGTAAAGAATTTGCGAAAATACCAAGGAAAAATATTATCACGCCAATTTAAACCACTCCCCTCTAGATTTTCACCGATATTTTTACTTAGCAAATTGTCAAATGGTTTACTGGTTTTTATTCTTCAGTTCTAAGATTTTGCTTGGGTTAGAGTTAGGCGAAGGTCGATAACAAAACACTTAGGATCTAATGCCCACATATTAAAAACCATTCAACTCCAACGACGCACTGCAAGTCCATGACACATCAGTATCACTTAGTCTTCAAAACAACACGCATTGAATCTATATTTTCTCTTGTTTTTGCTGTTTTTTACTTCTTTTTACTAAGCCACGTTTTCAGTATCTTTGGCGTCGTAATTTTTTTTTAGTTTATTTGAACTATTCTTAGTTGTGAGAGTTGAGTTGTAACCGTCCGTCAGTGTTTCAGTTGAATCGAGTTGAAGTAGTGGGTGGGTGTGGAACAGACAAACAATGCGTCTAAAAATACACTAGACTATGACGTCAAAACAAGTGGTCGTCAGTAGTAATAGATGACTATACGCCAACGGCAGTCTAGTCTAACTTGTCTGTTTGTCTTCCATCGTATGGAATTAGTTTTTAAGAATTATTTTTGCGTCGTACCGACCAAACACTCGCAAACAACAAGTGTTTTGTTCAAGCTCGTTCCCAAAGCTCCTTCACGCGTGATAGGGCCCTGGGAACGAGATTGGTATTATATTTTCCACTCTGCTTCACAATGCCTTCTTCAATACAGCTAGTTCAGAAATGATTTTCTCGTAAACTCAAGTGAATATTTGAGATTTTGAATCACTACAGGTCAATTCATCACGATTAAATTGTAGTGAAATCTTCTGAGAATTTCAAAACAGGCAACCGAGAAAGGGAGGGAGAGGAGAGGAGAGGAGAGGAGAGGAGAGGAGAGGAACACCTTGAAACCGTGGGTGGACATGAAATGCCCTGAAGGTAAAAATGCCAATTAAGAAAGGCAAATAAGAGGCTAAAATAAGGCTCTTCTGATCCGACAGGAAACCGGTATGAATGAAGGAATTAGCTGCTCATACCAAGTGTTACCCCACTTTCTGATGCCCTTGGATAAAATCAGAAAGCTACCTCTGCTGGCCATCGATCATTTTTACATATAAGTTTCACCGTGCTGTATATATGACTTATATATTTTATAACCTCTATATATGACTTTATTCTTATAATTTTGATTATCTAGAGCACTTTATTGAAATCGTGCCACGACATATATTTTCATTCAATGTTAACCGATGCGAAATGTCGAATCTGTTGTCATGGTTATCAAGCAGTATTGGTTCAGTTAAGCCTGATTTGGCCTTTAATTTTGATTATGTCCGGTAGTAGTCAGGATTGACTTTGTATGGGAGAGATAGTTGCACATAATATTTGGCGTATATTTTGCCAAGCCTTGACTACATATTTGCATGTTGCTCGCTTTTAGCTCGTTCTGCCCGGAATAAACTGCTTGGCCTCGAGATATTGCAGGACGTCACAGCTCATTTTGAGCAACTCTATCTTTCTAAATCAGTTCCATTGTCAAAAGCTTTTCCTTGTGAACTTTGACTCAGGAAAGGAAAGAATGCTAGACTAGAGAGAAAAACCAACGGGTCTTCCCACGTACTGCTGTACCGGGTTTCATCAAATGAGGAGCAGATTAAGCAACATTGCCGTGGCTCTTAAATGGCTTCCTTGACCAATCAAAAACAACTAGTCATTCAAACCGTCCAATCACAACTTCGCGTCTATAATTCCTATTCGGAAGGAAGTACTTAGAAAAATAACGAACGACAAGCCGGTAATTCATGTCAAAAAGCTATTGAAAGATTTTCTATCTTAATTTTTCTGCTTTGCCCTGGGCAATTCTACATAGTTTTTATACCATAGCTTACCATACAGTACCAAAATGAACTTGGTAGCCACTTAACTAGAGGCCAGACGGATACAGAGGGACTACTTAATAACGGGACATATCTCAAGTATCAATACTGTAACGAATACAAAGACTTTACTCACTTATCCAGCTAAGAAAGGGATTATTCTTGAAATAAGTAAGTAAGAAGCTCGTTGGTTTTGTTGAGCACTAATAATAATTTGTAAATTGCTATGAAGAGCTGGAGAAAATACTGGACCAGGCACGGGTGGTATAGACCATGTCCAGGGCTTGGCCAGCAAAAAACCTACTTGATTGGAATCTGAATTCTGATTTAGAACAGCGCGGGCAGACAAAGTAATCAGTAATACCCAATTAGATACAATGTACGCTCAGCTCTATATATGCAGGATGTAAACTAAAACTTTATTATCATCTGTATAATTGACATGGACCTTTGAATGCACTGATTGAATTTTAATATTACGACCATTTGATTCAAACTTATCTTCAATGAGTTTTGCCATCAAATGACTATATGTTTAGCGCCCAGACACAAACAACAGAGGAGGGTAATTTAGATTTAGAATAAACAAAAACAAAGAAGGCTTCTAGTTTATGCACTGACTTTTGATATTGCCAAAATGTTTTACAAGCACCAAGAAAATGCTTTAAAAACCTGAACGCGATAATAAGACATGTTACGATTGCTTGTGAGCTCCACGTACAGTGAAAATGGATGATTGAAACAAAACATTGAAAGAAATTGTTAAATACGTTTTGTAATAAAAAAAAGAAAATTATCGTACGAAGAGCTTGTTACTAGCTAGTTAGTTAGGAAAGGTCTTTCTTGCTGCAACCTTTGAATCGTATTCTTAGTGATGAGGCCTACGATTTTTGAGCGCGATATTTCAACATTTCAAATACATTTTGAATAATATTTCAGTTTTTCAAATTTTTTCCATTGTAAACATGTTTCTAATACGTTTCTAAGACTTGGTTCCTGTTTAAAAAAGAAAGAAGTAAAAATAACTCGCCTCGTCTGCTTTGACGCCCAAAGTAAGAATGTCCGATGGGAAGACAAAACCATCTCGTTTAGTTCCTGGCTCATTCACTTGCTGTTTTAGTGTAGTATCGACAAAAAGAAAGATTAGGATATCCAAACCATACTTTATAAGTAAAGCAAAAAGCTAAATTTTGTAACATTTTTTCTCTATTTTCCTTTGTAGACGCTTATACATCAGTCTACTGCCAAGCCATCTAGATTGAGTAAACATGAGCAACACTACAGAAAATCAACGTCCGCGCTTCAAGAACACCATCCATCTTTGGGAATTCTTGCTGGAGTTACTAAACAACGAGCGCTATGCTTCTATCATCTCATGGACCAGAAAAGAATATGGTGAATTCAAACTCAAAAAACAAGAAGAAGTCGCTAGACAATGGGGCTTGTTAAAACAGCGAAAAGGGATGAACTATGATAAGCTGAGCAGATCACTGCGATATTACTATGACAAGAGAATCATAAAAAAGGTATTAAACTACGGAATAACCAAGTTAATGTATAATTAAATTAACAGCCATTGATGTTAGCAGTCGAATGAAGTCGTTAGTCGATTGACGCACTTCTTAAAATGTTTCTTTGTTCGTCTTTGAATCTGTCAGTTCGAGTTGAACTTCTGGAAAAAAAAATTGACGATAAAAGTTTGAGAATCAATATTTATAGGTATGATTTTATTTGATGATGCAATGATCCATAATTTCTTTCGATATTTTGAATAATTTGTCGTAGTGAAGGTGTTCTCAACGTTTTTTTAAAGTTTGGTGGTTAGAGAGCTTGCAGACGTAGATAATCCCAACACCCCCGAGGGCTGGTATGACCTCGACAACTATTCTAACATCTTATCCTATTGATCCAAAATACTTTACCGCTATTGAGTTGCATATCGTCTGTTTTTAATATCCATACATATGTTTTCAATTATTATTTTATCATGTTTTATCTGTTGGGGTAAGACCTTCGATATTTAGAATAATTTATCTTAGTTCATAAAGTATTTAAAGTTTAGCGGTTATAGATCCGCAGACGTAGAATCCCAACCGACCCCGAGGGCGGGTATAACCTCGACAACTATACTTACAACATATCCCGTTTATCCAAAATAGTTAATGAGTTGCATATAGTCCATTTTTCTACCATTTATAAACATTCTTTCAATTATCTTTTTAATATTATACTTTGTATTTTGCCAGGTTTCAGGGCAACGACTGGTTTACAGGTTCATAGAACTGCCTTTTGAATACCTGCCTCTACGAAACATGGATGAGAAGACACGGCGTCAGCAGTTACAAAGCTCGTCTGTAATTCTCCCGACAACTGTTACCTACCCCACTCCTCCTCCTCCCCCCTCCCCCAGAACCCCACCCATCGAGGCAGAAAGAAACCCAAGGTGTGACGTACAACACACGTCAGTCATTCGTCATGTTAAAACCAATCATGTTCAAAGCACTGAACCACGTGACAACATAATACCCCATGGTCCACCTCGAGTGATGTCACAAAGTCAAATTATTTTTCCCTCATGTGGGTGTATCATGATGGGATCCAATGTGGTCATGCACTGGTGAGTTCTACACTGTCATCTGTCCATCTCTACATGTGCATCCACTGCAATAGTTATTGTAATATCAAAATATTTGATATGAAGACGTAATGGCTTTCTCACCAAAGTCTGCACCAACATTAGTTATCAAAAATATCAAGACTTATTGAATGATGAGTTTTGAAAGTTAGAGTTTTTTTACCTATGGTTAATGGCAAAGTATGGTTGCAAAGGGGGTTGTATAGTTTTGCATTGTACTGATGTACTGACAACTCCCCCCCCCCCCCCCGAATTGCTACCGAGCTAATTGCTGCGAACTAAGTGCTTACGGAATGCCGGCGTCTATACAAAAGACGAAGGACTTTAATTGATTATAATAAAGTAAAATTTGTAACATAAATAGAAGACTACTTGTAATTATGAGCGCGAAGTAAGTATATTCACGACTCTTAAGAATACCATAATATCTAGAATGTGCGGACTTAGTCTCACTTCTGAGGTTGGTAAACAAAAGCAGAAATTATAACAACGAAACAAGGAACTCCTGGATTACAGGCTAAGCCCAGACATTCTTGAAATAATGGTACCGATACCAACAAGGTAGAAAAATATTGAATGGACTAACATCTTCCTTCATTGATATTTTAGTTCTTAGTATTTGGTCCAATTTGTTAGTTATTTCTCATTTTCTATATAATTTCAGAATGATCTAGTGGTTTGTGACATGATTGCGTACATCTGTAATCACGAAATCTAGTGTATTTTATTTAAAGTTTTTAAAAAAAATATTTCAAGATACAATCAGCAATAAGTATATGTAATAGGAGTCCATGCTGTCCAATTAAGAAATAATTGGATGGACGAGGAAAATTCCGAGGACTGACAAAACTGAATGAGGCCGTAGGCCGAGTCCAATTTGTCACTCAGAGGAATTTTTCGAGTCTAACTATTTCTTGATTGGGGAGCATGAAATCCCATTACCTATTAATTATATAGCTGCCTAATTAATCCCATATCAACAAGACCTATCAAATTAAGAAAATAATTGGACAGTTACCTATATATGGGATTAATGAGAAGCTGTATAATTATAATAATAATTCTACATTAATTTCTAATTTTAATTTCTAATTTTATTTAAAGTAGTAGTAATAATAATAATGTTTAAAAAAAAATAGTAATAATAATAAGGTATACGTACATTAGATTGGATAGACAAAGTGTATTGTGGTCTACCTTGGCACGAATATCTGTATGTTGTCTATCTTTCCTTATACAGTGTTGTTTATACCCAAGCTAGACCATAATGCATCTTGTTTAAGGGCACATAGTCTGAATGAAAATCAAGCGCTTATTCAGATTATTTTATAAGCTTCAAAAAGGATGAAGCCTAGTTTCTTGACAGAAACGAGTTAAACTTGGTGCTAATATGCCGCTTGAGAATGCGCAGAGCATTTGGGTGGAAAATTTGGAAAGGTAATTGCGAGCAAAATCAGCAAAGTATATATTTTTTCATGTATGTACCAAAGAAAAAATAAAAATAAAATTAAAATTTTAAGTAGGTATAAGTTTCAGGTCACCCATCTAGGATTGAACCTCGCCCTACCGGGCTTGACTTAATGTCTTGGAAGTCCAAGGTTTTTCCACTGGACCACGATTCTAAAAAATTAGCACAACAATAGCCTTCGGAAACAATGCGTCAGATAGACAAGATTATTTTTCCACTTCAAATCAATGTACCTAGTGCGTGGTAGGTTGTGCAAGGGATTAGCTGTAGATATGGTCTGGGGGCCGGCTAGTCTCTCCCCTGATGCTTCGGCTAGAACACAGTCCTGCGTAATCCGTGCAAACAAGGGCAGAAGGATTTAATTGTCGTCAGGTCCGAAGTCCATACGTCGCCTCAGCTCTGCGGATGTCTCGGGGGTATGGCATTTGGTAGGTGCAGGTTATTTTTGGAATTAATTATCGATTTTCTGAAAGTAGACGCGAGTTCGATTCCCGATTTAGATAACATTCTTATATATTTTTGATATATTTTTGATATATTCTTTTGGATATTCTTTTTCTTTTCTTTTTTTAGCAATTAGTATTTTTCAATAATAGAAAGTGGGATAATAGGATATACTCCACTTGGTCTCTCAGTATCTCTATAATGCTATAATTTCTGTTCATGATATTGCGACTACAGTCCATCCACAGGGAGCCCAATTTAGATAAAAGTGAAAATCAACAACATACTACGAAAACAAAGGCGCGCGCGGAAAAAAATGTTCCAGTGCATTTTTTATTTATTTTTTACTCTTTCGTATAGATTACAGAGGACTTTATCTTGACCTCGAATAAGAAAAAACATATGTAATTTTTCCGATTTCATTTTCACCTTTCACATTTATCTAGATTGGGTTCCCTGTGGTCCACTCAAAGGAGATTTTGGGACCGGCTCAGTTTATCTCAGTTTGCCATTCTACACTGGTCCGGGTGCTTACAGTTGCCCTTACCACAGCTATCCCAAGCTCTCTTTTATTGTCGAGTTATTTGTGGAGTTTGTATTCAGATCCCGGATCCCGGCCAATGAAAGTTAAGCTTGGGATACCTGCGCCCTTACTGGAATTAGAAAAGTGTTGCCTTTAACTACCATAGAGTGCATCCTAGTGGCAGACCCAGGGGGGTTCTGTGGGGGCCACGGAATCCCCTTTTTGTCACTCGTTAAGCCAATCATCTTTACGCTCAGTAGAATAACTGATAGGAACCCCCCCTCCCCCCATTTTGTGAAGCTAGCCTTACCAGCTTTTCCTGCCTGGCGACCATTTTGGAACCCCCTTTTTTAAAATCCTGGGTCCGCCACTAGTACCATAAATTCCTGAAAAACTTTGCAACGAATTGCACAAATTATAGGTTCAGTAGACCTCAGTAAACCTTAGACCTACAAAACTTTGCACTAGTTAACTTTTTCATGGATATACACTTATTTCAATAAAGTTAGTCACCAAAAACCTAGAAAGCTGTGACCGCTGAGAATCATGGGAAATATTTCATATTCAACAAGTAAAGCTTTTGACACAAACTGCAGCAGTTGAGGATGCTCAGAGGAGGTGAACTCGTAACTGGTAGAAGATCTCAAGCCCATCAACAGTTATCAAGCGGTTAAAACATGTAAAATGTATCTACCTATAATCCTTGCCGGTCTCAGCTTTGTAGCTTTTTAGGCGACCAACTTTATTGAAATAAGTGTATGGTATGCACTTTAAAGAAATAATCGGTTCGAATCCAAATAATTAAAAGACTCTTGACATTTTGATGGAAACTTCAGTTATAACACCCACAATCTTGGGCAATAGGGCGGTGTGCGAGTGTGACATAACCTTATTAGATGATGCTTACTTCGTGTTCTATTTTTAGAAACCATACCAAAAAGGGTAAAATCCCCAAAGATAAAAAACCTTTCAAAAACCTTTCGATCTTGTCTACACGCCGGCTGTTGATATAAAATGCTGTTGGTATAAAATTTTCCTCTAATAATAAACATGTTCTTTGCCCGTAGAAGGATTGAGATTTGTTATCGTATGAGGCAACACTCGTAAAGGTTAAACTTCCTTATGATCTGCTGAGAAAAAAAACAAGCTAGGGTGGGCCAGTAGCTTGCGAAAACGAACCGAAAACACGTGACGTAGAAGCGACGTCAGTCAGCGCATTTGCAAAGCATGGTAACGTAAGTAATGGAATGTCACGCGTGCTTGGACTTGGACAACCAGACTCAAGATACGACATCCTTAATAGCGGATATTGGTTTTCTATAGTAGGTGGTGAAGATTCAATTTTGTTTAGTTTTGATATTTGTGTGTTTTTTATATTTTGAGAGCTAGTGCAGACAAATTCGTCTAGTTTGCATATTCCTATACCGTATCATTAATCATTTCTTGGCCACGCGTTAATGGAGTTTTAAAAAACGACAAGAATTTCTTTTGCTTCATTTGCTTTCCTGACTGATCAAAAGCCTCGTTTAATAATGAGAAATATTATCAATTTAATCTAATTATTATTAATACATAAAGCAAAATTCCTAGGTATGCATAAATATTTGCATACCAAGATAAACACCGTCATCAAACGGAAAGCAAAATCTTGTTAGTTTGTGATATACAATTTCGCTTCATTTAATGATTTCATGACAGGAGGTAGCATATTTACAACAACCATTTCAAGTTGCAATCATTTCTATTTCCAGAATCTGATCTCGTTTGAATTCAAATGCGTAATTTTCCAGTTGAAGATGTAATGATAGGGATCAACAGAGCAGAAAGTAATCCAACCTATTTTGCATGACGTTAATTCTATTTGTGACTCTTGAACCCACGACGCAAAGCGACTTGACTTATCAATAAACACTTTTCCACATCACGTACGGCGGCTAAATCCACCTTTTTAAAGCCTTATTTACTCGCTCAATAATCCCTAAGCATCTTGGGAGGGCTATTAAGCTTTGACTTACTAGTTTTTTAAGGGTATTATTTGTTTCGTAAAGAGTTGAGAGTCTCAGCAGTCGAGGATTCTTAGAAATGTTGCATATGATTATTTCTGATTTACGTCTGCAAAGGTCAAAATGGTCAATCACTGGGATTACTTCCTTCCTGTTCAGCGACAAATACCTTCCTAATCATAACAAGAAAACTTCGTCAATAAAAAACATTTCATACTCAATCGCAAACTACTATCAAAATAAAGATTTTGCAATCTAAATCGGATACGTTTGCGAGTTGAGTAAAAAATCATGTGCTTTGTCTTGTAATATATTTTAGTTTTTAAGAACTTATTTTATCGTCATCTCTGTTTTATGGAAGCTTACATTTAAAACAGGTTATATCCCAGTTACAGGAAAGATTAAGCTACGAAAACAAAACCTAGTCACGAAAGAAATGTGACGCTATTCCGTCATCTTACGCAACAGTGCTCTGCCCTGGTTCAAGAACGTAGCGTGCGTCATCGCTTCTCGCCAATAGACGCGCGCGCTGTCTCGATCAAGCGAATACAATCGGGAGATGACGTACGGACCTATGTAATTCATACCGTGACATAACAATGTTAACACCCTGGAGATATAAACCCAACTTTCTAGACCTTCATTTAAAAACTATAAACTCTTGGACGGTTCTGGTCTAAACGAGAGTGGGCAAAGAAACGGGTTAGCGAAACTGTATCAAAATTGTTCGTGACTTACCGAACGGACTTCCGCGTAGGTGATTCAAATATTTATCATGGCTAGCACGACATCCTTTCAAGGTAGGTAGGTGGCTATCATACAACCTTTATAACAAAACAGTTTTCTTTTAGCAAGTAAACATTCCAGTACTAGACAATGCCATGTGCAAAAGTCCTTCGAGTATTTTATTGCAATCTCATTTATTCATGATGTGACTTGTATATATACTGTATTTATCTAATCAAAAATTGATTGGTGAGAATTAAGACAATTAATTAAGGGTTATCGTTACTTTCAGCTGGAACTACAAGCACCGACTCGTATTATCATATAGCTTTACATAACATCACTTTCATTCTCGTTTGAAGTTGAAAAAAACATGCGCACCTCCATAATCATTTTTGATAATTCTTGTTCAATAATTATTTGTTTTTGAAAATAATCTTTTGGAAATCATTAATTCTGCATTGGATAGTATCTTATTTTTGATTGAGTATATTATTGTTATTTTAACAGATGACAAAGACATTGAAGTTCGTGTGAAGTCAGAGCAACGTGATGAAGTACCCAAATCAGACATGGTTGACTCTAGCAAGAAACCTCGATATAAAAACACTGTTCACTTATGGGAATTTTTACTGGAACTTCTATCTGATGAAAGATATAACTCAATTATTGCATGGAGTAGAAAGGATCATGGAGAATTTAAACTAAAAAATCAGGAAGAAGTTGCGAAGAGATGGGGCATCTTGAAGCATAGAGCAGGAATGAATTACGAAAAACTAAGCAGAGCCATTCGGTATTATTACCAGCAAGGAATCATACAAAAGGTAAGGGCTCGTGTCTATTGCAATGCTGTTATATTCTATTTTTATACACAACTGATCGGTCTAGTGGTGAAGATTTGAATTTAAAAGGGACATGATAACATCCTCAATATACTTTGTTGATTAAGGCACTTGATTTGAGATAGTTCATCTTTTGAGTTTGAAATGCAAAATGTATAAGTCTCTCAATAGTATGAAAATAACCATTACTAAGGTCTATTTGAGTGTTTTGATAGTATCAATACAACTCACGATCTGTCATACTTATCCTTGCAGGTACCAGGCCAAAGACTTGTCTATAAATTCGGTCAACTCCCCTATGAGTTCAAACCAAGAATAAACCGACTAAAAGCCAAAACGGAAAGTACTAGTCGAGTACCATTTCAAGAGACTTTGAAAGCTGAATCACCAGCATTTTTACCTCTTACGTCACTCACTCCACCACCAGAGGCTGGGTATTCTTACCCTGTGTTACCAAACTTAACCCGACCTATCTGTAACTGTTGCTATGACAACCGATTCAGCCCGTGCACTGTGGGGAAGTTACAGGGTAGTCCATTGATATTCCCGTCCATATCAAATGGATACACACTTCCTTTTACTACAGTGAGTCATCTACAGCCACATATATCTAGCCCTCCAAGAGCAATACCTGTATCTGTTATTACAAGTACCCGCTCTTGAGAACCTATTGACATGACAACCTGTTGACATGACAACCGTATCAGGTGAAGAGCAGCACAGGTTACTTTGCATCATCATCTGACAAAAGCTGAAACTAACATGGACAGATAATTCATCTAGAATATATTAACACTAAAATAAGCTGGACCCGTTTGAAATAATCATTCATGCTGGCTATATATTTTATAGTCTCGAAATTTATCGTAAAATAATTCATCCGTTGATCATACGCGAGGCTTAACATTTGAAACCATTTTCGCCATCCTGTTCCATATTTGAAATCTTAAAATTTTGGGAATAGGGATGACGAAAGAAAAGACTTGAAAGATAAAGTAATCTTTGCCTTATATTATCCATATTACATCAGAAGCATATTGCTTCGAGAGATAAAAGTATTGTCAGTAAAATAAGCCCTCTTAACTTCTTGACTTTTTTCTTAATATACTTCAGTAAGCAGGAACTCACCTTGGTCCGTCTGACGTTGGGTTTAAAGCAGATTGAGGCATATGACTGTTGAGACTTCACATGGGAAAATAACCAAGTTCATTATTTAAAAGTTTTTTTCCACCACCCACGATTCGAAAACGAACTATCAATGATCTTATTTCTCTCTTATTTATCATGACACTTGGTCGACTTTTTTATATTGTGATTTATTAGCTAAAAAAATTAAAAATATATGACGTGTCTTTTACATTTGGGCTCTAATAGCCAGACATATTCCGCAGAAAGCATGTATAGATGTTTATGTATATGGAATTATTTATATATGGCATGCCTAAAGTCACTAAAGCTGGAAGGCTAGTGCTTTTGAAAGACTTAAAAAATAATGAGTATTTGAAGAGGGTTTGACTCAATAGCCATAGGCGAATAAACTTGTGACCCTCAAATAGAATATGAAATAAATCAATTGATAAAAGAAAACGATATTCAAACTGTTTTTGAAAAATCTAAAACCTTTAGCTAACAATGTAACGATGAATATTGATAAATATACACATTGATAAAAATATCAATCATATCTATAAATTAGACAATACAAAACGAAATAAAGAACAGAATGAAAGCAAGAAAGAAATATTACTAAGTAGATTAGTTTTTTTTCCTGTGTATTCACTACAATTAGCGGTTTATTTTGGACTTCTCAATTTTCAATAACCTTGGCATTTACTAAAAATAATTGGCAAACTTTGACCTAGACATCTTTTACTACCAAGCTACAATCACGTACAAATGTAGCACAAGTGCATCGATAAAAGATCGAGACCAGATGATTAAGAGCCTGATGAAGTAAACTAACAGACAATATTTCCTGTTTTAGTTGCGTCAGAGAAATATGTCAGGAAAGGTTTTAAGTTACGATAAGGGAGCAGTTATCGAAGATAGGATTGAAGAAGGCATATGCATGTGCGGGAGGCAGGATGGGAACGAAACTAAGAAATAAGAAGAGGGGAAAAATAACGGGAAAATAAGTTGGAGATATGGAAAGGAATCAAAAATACAACGAAAATACAAACGGGAATGGAGGTATAAGGGATAATTCAGGAAAATACACTCACTTTTTTTTTCTGCGATGAAATTTGTGCCATTTCTGTCGTACTTTTCAGCTGCTTACCTCTCATTCAAGAAGGTGCATTTTTTAATTTTGATTTTATCTTGAATTAAAGTATAGTGACCACTGAGCGAAATGTAGTACATGAAGATGAATGGGCGAGTTTCATTATCAAAAGTCGCTATCTTTCAGTTGCGCATGCGCGAGGTTGACTTTGTTCAGACTGAGAGGAATTTTACAGAGTACGTATTTGAAGCTAATGTTCATTGATGTACAACTAGCTAACAAAACTTTTATTTAAAATCAAGAAATGTTAAGGACAGGATAATCTTAACACCATTGATCTTTTTAAAGCCCCGTTTACACTGGCGATTTTTACTGCGATTTTTCACTGCGATTTTTGTGGCAATTTTCGGAAGTATAAAATCTTTTGTCTCATCCTTCAAAAGAGACATTCGTCTAGGAAAATCTTGGTATCCTGAAAAAAACTTTACAAGTAAATTCTTTACCATCATTTATTATGGACAAAATCGCCGCAAAAATCGCTAGTGTAAACGGGGCGTAATAAGGTTGTAATTGATATTATTATTTTTTGGTTGTCGTGTAACTTACATTTATTATGTATTTTGATTTGTTCTTCTTCCCAGTGCTACCATTTGTTTCGATTCATAGTTTCGACTCACAGACAATAGCTAAGCAATCACCTGCAGTTTGCAGTAGTTTTCCCAATGGAATTATAATCTTGTCCCACAAACAACTACGCAGTATCTGTTTTAATTAAAGAGTACTACAAGGATGACGAGACAATTCTCTAATCATTTCGCAGGACAGTAAACTATTGAAACAAGTTATGACCAATGTTTTGCGATCAGAGTTTTAAATTCTAAAATATTCCAGATAATTTGTTAAGCTTGTGGGACATAGCAACGGTAACTAAGGGAGAGTCGGAACCCGATGGATTCCCGCGGGCTCGGTGTCGTATGTAAATAGAGTTTGTTCGTTGGTTTTTTCTCCCTCCACAAAAATCAACTTCTATATCTATTCAATCTATCGATAGCCTTAACAAGTGGGATGTAAAGGAGAAGTAAATCCAATTAGTTTTAAAATATTCTCATATCCAAAACAGAAGAGGAGGGACTGCATGTATCCCTATAGAATATTTCCAATCACGGTTGTGCGTTGTATACATACTTTACTTTACTGGTAATGTAATTACTAAAGAGGAGAACCCTAATTCAGCTCAGGAGAGCCCTAATTTAGCTCAGGAGAGCCCTAATTCAGCTCAGGAGAGCCCTAATTCAGCTCAGGAGAGCCCTAATTCAGCTCAGGAGAGCCCTAATTCAGCTCAGGAGAGCCCTAATTCAGTTCAGAGATCATTTTTTATTATTTTCATAGCATTATTCCACGTTCCACTTAGCAATTTCTAATGTCTGTTCTCTACTCGTATCTCTACAACTTTAGGAATGGACCCATCTGGATGCTTAGTCTCGGGAGCTAGTGCAAACCTGAACTCTCTCAATAAGCGCACGAGAGTTAACTTGCCTTCCAGCTGGGCAAGCCTCATGCCAATACAAGAACGAGGTCCAACTCCAAACGGATGAAACTGATAAGGGTGCCTCTTTTCCTTGACTGGTCCTCTGTGTCTCTCTGGATCGAACTTGAACGGTTCTTCCCAAGCATCTGGGTCATTATGAAGAAGAAAGTAACAGAGAACGACCACGGTTCCTCGTGGGAAATGAACACCGTTGATGGTGCAAGTTTGGCTACAATGACGACTGATTTGCAATTCGGCAGCCATTGAAAATCGAAGCGTCTCGTTGAAGAAGCAATCGAGGTACTCCAGTTCATGGATAAGATCGTATATTGGTTTCTCGGGGTTAGCTGCAAAGGCGGCGTCTATTTCCTCAATCAATTTGTCTTGTATTTCAGGATAATGTGCCAGCCAATAGGAAGCTATCGACAGAAATGTGCTGGTTGTATGAAGTCCAGCCGTAAGAAATGTTACCTGAGAAAGGATCATTTTCATGACATGATTAGGAAGGTTATTGGTTAGGGTGAAGGACCAGGGTCCTCCATTTTGCTCTAAAAGGGTGACACGCAAATGATCTACCACCTTTATTCGATTTAAAATAATTGTGTGAAAATGAAAAAAAAAAAAAAAAAAAAAAAAAAAAAAAAAAAAAAAAAAAAAAAAAAAAAAAAAAAGAAGAGCTCCTATTTATTAGTAAGAAGGTGATTGTCTGTCATTGTAGGATGAAAATAAGGTTCACGAAATTCATTCTGTTGGGTGATACCACGCAATGGAATGATCTCTTGTTAATAGCAAGTGATGGGCAGTGCTTGCCTGTTATTGTAGGCCACAGCACTTATGAGATTCATGAGATATCTTCAGCTGATTGATATCAAGCAACATAGTTTTTCTTTTCGTACTTACAGACTGAGCTGATATCTCATCATCTGTTAACTTTCTTTCACCCTCATTGTCTACCGTATTCATCATCAAGTACATCAGATCTTTTCTTCCTGCATCCACTCCCTTCTCTTTTCTCTGCTGGATGATTTGCATGGCGATACCGTTGAAGAAAGAAAAGAACTTCTTTACCAATACTTGACTAAATAGTTTCATTGCTAGAGAAGAAAACGGAAGAGACTTGAAGAACATGTCGAGGTATTGACGACTTTCGAAGCTACTTCTAACGGTCGTAACGATTTTCTCGTTGGGGTTGTTTTGAAAGTCAACTTCCATGCCAAAGGCTGTCTTCAAGAGGACTTCAAGAATGTACTGCTGATAGCACGAGCTGGCTTTGATAGTCCTACCTGAAGAGACAGACGAACAGATAAATGGACAGACGTACAGACAGACAAAAAACGAATAAGCAAACAAACAACAAATGAAAGAGAGAAAACAATAAAATAAATAATAAATTTAAAAAAAAATTTTTTTTAACAGTAATGCTTGTAAAATCAAAAACGCACTAGGAATCTATGGAGAATGGTGGGGGTGAGGGTTGGGAAAGATTATCGAACCTAGACATACACTTTGTATATGTGGGAACTACAATTATACAATTACGTATATTAATTACGTTAAGTTTTAGATAGGGATTTGGAAAAAACCGATTTTTTTCGCCGCCAAACGATTCAGTTTTTAGCGCCAAACTCCTAGGTCTTAAATAGGGTTATAATTTTCAGAGTTGTGTCTTAAAAAGAGTATTTGTTTTTCCAATATATTCGTGTCACGCTAATTAGATAGGGTCAGGGTTCTCCGATCCCAGTGGAACGTCTTACAATTGAACCACTTCTAGTACCCTCCACTCCGTGGGGAATACGCTTCAATTATACCTGTATCAGCTGCCTCACGGAATTTCCCAATCAAAACCTGGCAGGATTCATCTATGAGCGACACCATTTGCTTCATTTTTGATGCACTAAAGGTTGGAGTCAAGGTTGACCGAATGCGCTTCCATTGGTCGTCCACGGCAGCTCCAATGCCAGAGTTGTTTGGGGGTGGAAGTTTGATACTGATATGGCGATTGCGAAACTTGTCGAAATCCTTGACTGTAATCAGCTTGACTAACTCGGGATCTGCAACTACAACCATTGGACTCTGACCTATCGAAAAATGAAAGACGTTTCCATATCTTTTTCTATATTCTAGAAGCATGTTTTTGATTCCGCCATACTTTAAGATGTCTGGGATATTGCCAACATACGGCCATGGCGTTGAACCAGGAATATTGAAGGACTTAATGACAGAATATTTGTAGGTTCCAAACCAGTACAGACTGATGATCAAGACGATTATTGTAGCTAATATCAACCACATTGCAAGGGATAATCAGGTAAAACTTTTCACTGTTGTCTCTAGCTACTTTGTGATGCAAATTCTAATCATGCAAAGTCTATCAGCCGTAACAGGGTTCAGATCAAACTGTCAGCTATCGACAGGGGGCTACTGAAGTTTGTCAATAGGCGAGATTCTGATTGGTGGATATATTTAGGTAGAGCTGGATTAGTTTGGGCTTGCATCATAATATGATAAGAATATTGAAGTATGGACCATTAGATAATGTGGAATTTATGTTGCACGTTATTTTGTTTGTAACGACCCCTACAAGCTTTCTTTTGTGTTTGCTCGATATTTCTTTACTGAAAGGAAAGGTTGCGCGATATTTTTTCCATAGTTGAAGTGCTTGTTTGATATTTTTTTGGGGATTTACGCAACCCTCCCCCCTCTAGGACTAGGATTAGTGAACAGAGGAGAAGAAGAGTAAATTATAGCGGCGTGGCAGGCAGGCAGGCAGGGGAGGGGGAGTATTTGGATGGGTGACCTGTAACCTATTTCTTGAAGACGTATTTTTTATACTTGCTCTCAGTTCACATGGTGTAACCGATTCCTGTCTACCCATAGAGAGATACAAGGTACGGATGCCATTTCCCTTTCTTCACTACAAAAGTAAATCCAGTCGTTCGTCATACTTGATACACTTTAATGGAGGATCGTTTCCATGGTAACATCACAACGGGTTGTTAATCATTTTTACTTAAGGTGGCTGCCTACTTTAGAACATTCAATTTGAGCCCACGATGTGCGCGCGCTCAAAAACCGCTGAAAAATCTGCAAGATTTTATTTAAGAACCATACGCGTTTTGAGCTTCAACAGGGCAAAACCCTCAAATTTTGCACGGGACTCTCTATTTTGTAATAGCTCATTCGAAAAAACTCCTAAAAATCTAGGTTATGTCAACATTTTAGGAAAAGTTTAAATCAGTAACACATGAAAAAATAGATTTTTGTAGGGATTTTTGTTCGACTTTATGAGATTTTTTAAGAACACCGAAACTACAAAATATGATAAATCAATGTATCTCTTTGTCTTTTTGTCGAAAATATCCATGTATTATTGTAGAATGATTGACTATTCTTCATTCGTGGAATCATATAGTCTGCAAATAACTATTATCTTATGAATCTTAATTTTTTCTAATCACTTCCGGTGGCGCAATTTTTACTCCAAAAGCTCGTGCGTAGGCTTCCATTAAATGCTGATTATCTCGAAAACAAGCTCGGGACACCCTATTTATCTTTACAGATTTGGAATCAGCATTAAATTTCAATTCGGAAAATCGAAGTTTAAAAAAAAGTTTAAATCAATTTCCAACAGTAGGCAGTCGCCTTAAAATGTTCAATAAAATTCTACAAAGTTTTTGTGCAAAAAGAAAACACTTGTTTAACTAAAACAAATAAATATTTAGATTTCTTAGTAGGTTAACATAAGTGACGTCATTTCCGGTTCTTTTTTTATTTCTGATTTACAGTGCTTTACTTGTGAAGTTTCAGTGCAAAAATTTCTATCCCCGAATGATGTACCGAAAATGACTCCTATTAAAAGTAATCTACAAATACATTAAAACCATAAATAGCTTATGAAAAGGATTATTTTGAATACCCAGTAGTTTACTTAAACGCATACAGTGATATGAATGTTATGTTATTGCAGTTCATCCAACATGTAGCACTGCGCATGCTCAGAAAAATGGCGGGAAAATGCCAGAGGAAAAATGATAACCATGTATGTACGCTTTGTTTTAATGATATTGCTTTCTTTTAATAAAACTATTTATCATATAATTATCCATAAAATATCTATGTTTATTTATAGTTTCAGGTCGAAAAATGAGCATTCACTGTTCGTACTTTCCTGAGCATGCGTAGTACGATTTTCTTAGGTATGCTTACTCTTACTGATAAACAGATTGCCTTTGTTCCATTTTGTTTTCTGTCGTTGTCATATTTTAAATTTCATATAAAATGTCAGGAACAAGGAATTCAGTTAAAAATATTTTACATTCCTGAATATTATTTACAAATCTTTGTCGCATGCAAACTGGCATGCTTACTATTGCACAAGACTGGATGACACTTTGCTGCCATGCATGATCTCGCTCATGAGCTTGAAAAAATAATATTTAGTCCCATATGTTACATTAATACATTAATGCATTATTAGGAAATCTGTATAGTGCACAGATTATTAGTCGATCAGTCTTTTGTTTTCTTTCCTCAGTTGAGGAGATAAGATAATCCAGACGTGAGGAGTGAAAAAGAGACAATACTGAGACTGCAATATTGCCTTGAAAAGTAAAGTAAAGTTTTACAAAAGTATTGAATGTGCTGAGTCTAAAATGTTGGGGGAATGAGAGGAGGGCAGGAGGGCAGGAGGGCAGGAGGGCAGGAGGGCAGGAGGGCAGGAGGGCATTTAATCTCGCGACCCAGACATAGTACAATCTTCTATACACATTCTTCTTTTAAGCTAGTCAGTAGCGTCACGATAGACTCGTAGGTTTTGCAGTCTATTCTATGACTGATTGTGAGCATAATCCCCTTATACGATCATGCTTTCATTGACATATACTACGAATATATACCGTGATAACAGTTAATAGGAATACCTATGCCATATTCAAAACCTGTCTTATAATCTATAGTCTTGTTGTTTCATCTTCATTCGAAACTGTTGCCATGCTCGCGCCCATAGAATTCTAAACAAATAAATGATAATAATATAGATTAATGATAAATAAGTAGAAATAAATAGATACTCATTGAAAAAGGCAGTGTAGTGTAGTGTAGTGTCGTGTAGCGTGAAATAGTGTAGTGTAGTGTAGTGTAGTGTAGTGTAGTGTAGTGTAGTGTAGTGTAGTGTAGTGTAGAGTAGTGTAGAGTAGTGTAGAGTAGTGTAGTGTAGAGTAGAGTAGTGTAGTGCAGTGCAGTGCAGTGCAGTGCAGTGCAGTGCAGTGCAGTGCAGTGCAGTGCAGTGCAGTGCAGTGCAGTGCAGTGTAGTGTAGTGTAGTGCAGTGTAGTGTAATGTAGTCTTATAGAGCTACGATAATCTAATATATTTACAGGATTTTTCAGTTATAGTTTGTAGTCTTACCACTAGCGGTTTATACTTTGGGCTGTTTATCTAAAGGGTCTTGATCAGCACTTGCCTCTTCGATGTTATGGTTCGAGTCCTGTTTTGTTTGGCTGATATCATTAGGAGTGTTTATATCAATGTGGTTACTCGTAGGGGTAGGTTGTAAACTTGTAGAAGATGCTGGCTGAGGGTGACACTCTATACGGATATTTTCCTTACCAAGGAAAAAAAGATTCATTTAGTTTCTTGGCTTAGTGCATAATGCGATGCGATGCGATGCGATGCGATGCGATGCGATGCGATGCGATGCGATGCGATGCGATGCGATGCGATGTGATGTGATGTGCAGGCGATGCCGT